GCTTGGGGCCTCCTAGCGCCCTTCCTCACCCCCACCCCCAACCTGCCCACAAGGAGCTAGAGTGAGGTGGGGGGAGTGAAAAAATCGAGCCGGTTGGAGTTTGTTGGTTTTACACTCCGTATAAAACTAAGCCGAGATCTTGCCTGGGCAAAAACAGCCCCTCCTCCCATAGCCCCGTGTGCAGTGCGTCTCCGACTTAGAAGATCGGAGTGGAGGTTGGGTGTGTTAGAAGTGCACATAAGTGCAGGAAACGGTTCTGTTGGCCATGTGTGTGAGAGCCATGCTGGCCGGCCAGGGCCTTGTCTCCCTGGGTTGCCACCATCTCACCATTTGATGCTTGATTGGCACTGGCATTTCTAGTTCCTTCTAGAAATGTGGACGGCATTTTAAAGGTGTTTTTCAAAGGACTCATGGAAGTGGAAGGAACCCTGCTGGCCTGGTGGTTCTGCCTTGGGTTGCTAATCACAGGGATTTCGATAGAAGTAGATCACCAGGCCTTTCTTCTGCCTCACGCCCCCACATTTGGGATCCTGTAGGGTCATTCTCTCTTCTTGCACTGGAGGCAGACATAGGAAACCAGTTGGCCACTGGAGCAAGAATGCCTCTCCCTCCTCAACAAGCAAACACACGGAAAGCTAGTGTGGGGCATTGGTCAGTGCTGAGAGTGGACCAAGTGAGACAGCAGAGAGGAGACCTGCAGGTGTGGCTCCTGGCAGCCCCCTGCCCTGGGCTGTTGGGTGACCCCAGCCCCTCTTCTGTACTGAGAGCTGGTGTGTGAAGTCTCCATTAGTTGCTCCTGTGGTTTTGCACCACAGACTTGCAGCACACGCAGAGATGCAGGGACGTGTTTATCTCAGTTGTCAAATAACAAGCCGCTCTGTGTACATAACAGGCCGTCAGGCAAGCAGGAGACTGCCCCTGCACCCACCGACACACACACTCGCGGAGTTCTCAACGTTGTGTCCAGAGGCCAGGGGGAGCGGGCCTTTCCAGACAGCCATTTTCTGCAGACTTGGCTCTCCTGGAACTTGGGCAAGCACCCTGCTCCTCGAACTATGGTCCCAGCCAGTGTGACCTTCCCCGAGGCCCCTGATCATGGGCCTTGGAGGACAGTACAAACTGTCCATTTGATGGCCTCTGTGTGTTCAGGGCCTGACCAAAACAGCAATAAACAAAGCCCATCTTGAACGGTGTTATGTCTGTGGTGCTCGTCTGGGGGCTAAGTCATGTCCCGGAGAAGTCCACCCCGGAAGCGCCCACTGTATGAATTGCAGGTGTGTTTATCTTAAAGTCCCCCGATTGTAAGCCACCTATTAGGAGGAGGGCCTTCTGGTTCCGGGTGTCCTCCCCATCCTGTTATCTGAGAAGGTGCACGTTCAGCTGCCTGACCCAGCACGCCACTTCCTGTTCCTAAGACAGCATGACTGCTTGTAAGTGAGAAAACGAATGATGTCTTTCCAAGCACTGCATTCCGCCCAAGGGGCTTAGTGTGGGTGACACAGACGGTTAACACGCTCCCTGCCCACCACAAGGGTGGGGGTCCCAGAAGATAAGAGCTGGAGCCTGCATTCAAAAAAATCAGCCCTTGGAAAGCCTGTGCAGCAAAGTTCTACTCTGTAACACAGGGGGCCGCCAGGAATCGCCCGGAATGGCTTAAAAATAGTTTTTAAACTGTGCGCCCTCCCCTGGCACAGTGCTGTCCCCAGGGCCCACCTGTTTACCCTGGCACTGGGACCTCTCCCCGGAAGATGGCAGTGGCCATCTGTCTGCCCCACCTCTCCCCCCTCGGGTGCATCATCCCCTGGAAGGGAGAGGAGGATGCTCCCTGGCTAGAGACCAGGATGGTTTTACCTGATGCTCAGAGGAATCAAAGGCCCAGGTTGGCCTCCCTTTGGCACCTGCAAGCCTGTGGGTGGTATTGTCTGCTGCTTCAAGCAGCCCCCAGGCACCTGGGAGGTCAAGGCCATGAGTGGGAAGGTCCGACCCATGGGCCGTATGTTGTTGTTTTTAGGTATATCATGGGGTCGGTTTTAACTCATAACGACCGTACGTTCAACAGAATGAAGCACTGCCCGGCCCTGCGCCATTCTCACCAGTAGAAGGCCCAAGAAATCACCAATCCCAGCCAACCCTACACCAAAGACAAACAGTTGCAGTCATCACAGACTTGGCTTCGACTCCTAGAGAACCTCTAGGGAGGAGTGGAGCTGCCCCTGTGGGTTTCTGAGACTAACTTTTTATGGGAGTAGAAAGCTTCGTCTTTCCCCTGCAGGGCACCTGGTGGTTTCCAACTGCTGCCTGGAGC